AGGTCTACTATGTCATTTTTACGTCTTGTTCGTTTATTGTATTATAAAGTTGCAGCAGCAGCAGTCGTATTATAATAATGGGTAACCCTGTTGGCACCCCGTCCCGAAACCGGTAAACATTATAATCGTACATCACGCCGACGACGTGCAAGGACCTCTGTACGGCTCTACACATAAGTATGTATTATAATATTATAATAGGTATGTAGGTATGGTATACCGATAATACGCGCCTATATTCCATAATGGTGCTGTATTGTGGACAACCAGTTTTCTCGAAAAGAAGTTCCTACGTGATTTGCATTTATGACTTACCCGCAGTGGATTATTATTTATACTGCTGCAGCGACACCCGGACGGGCGCGGATTCCGCGCATGGGAAAATTACGAGTTTGGTATTGTAGAAAATTAAAAATGACGCCCGAGCGCCGCGTTATGGAATAAATACAAAAAAAAAAAATCGTCGTATCATATGTCGTACACAATTCATTTTCCAGCGAGGCGTGGTTTTTTTTACAGCATAAATGTGTGCAGGACGCGTATATTATACTTACACCGTGTACATAAACTATTATAATTGTTGTATGATATTATTTCGCAGTACTCGTAGCAGTGGCTTAGCCAAGATTTAACAATGGGGAAGGGGGTTTAGGAGCGTGTAGTGGCTTATAACCTTCTAACCTTGTCTTTAACTAAGGAAAAAGCAATGTGAGGGTTACAACGCTCCTCCCTTGACTCCGCCACTGATTCGTAGAAATACATTCGACCAGGGCATTTAACCAGAGTCGCGTTAAGCCATTTGGCCCACAGAGATATAAATTTGGGACAAATCAGGGGCCTCAACATTTTTTTTACAATTTTATTAAATTCATATTAAAATTTCAACACATTTTACATCCACCAAATACGATTCTTCTTTGATCCTGAATTTTTTTCTAGGCACACATAATATCACATCACAATATAGGTTGCGCTTACGCCATTTACTAAACGATATGCATTATTACTCTAAGCAACGTGTTTGAATATTTAACAAATAATAAGTTTACTTAATAGTGATGTTGTGAATTTTATTTCGAGTTTTATATTGAACCGAGTGCCTAATAGTAATAAAAAGGCTTGCCCCCTGAGGAAAATTTCCTTACTGCCCCCCCCCCTCAACACGGTTCTGCATTAATTTAAATTCTTAGATAAACAGTTAAAGAATTTAATTTAAATGCAATTTTACTATATGCTTAAACATTTAGTTAAATGCCCATATTAGGCGTTTTCTGAAATGTCTATAACGAGTTAGACAAATAATGAAAAAACGGAATACGTAATTGTAATATTTATTCTAAATTTTCATACTTATTGTATCATTAATTATTTGAAGTACTCCAAATAGTTGGGATAAAGGAAAAGGAGAAAAAGACTCAATTTTTAATTGTTTACTATCATTCTCGGTAAGAAAATTATGTAAAATATGTGAAATATTTATAATTTCGTTTCGGTAATCATCAAGTAGAATATAAATAAAGAATACAAATTTAATATAATTGCAGTAAGTTATGGGATAGTACGAGTATAGAAAATGTTTATTACCGACACGAGATTTTAAGTATTATTCATGTTTTACTGCATACGTTTATTATGTGAAAATTATTTTAATTTGTAATTATCATATATATTTTGTATTCATTTTTTATACCCGTACTACCCAACTTACTATTACAATTATTTATAATTTATGTTTTATAGCAAGTAAGTTATTTTCCGGTAAAATACAATAATTTAATATTCTTTGATTTGATTATAATATACGCATTCACATAATAATTATTCCTTATATTCCTATATCTACACTTTTGGCGCCAGAATTTTGTTTACAATTTCATCAACATTATAGTTTTTAATAATTCGTAAATTAATTTTTAATTTTAGTTTTTCGTGAGTACCAAAATAGTACTTATACAATTTTTATTATTTATAAAATAAATTGAAAACATAATAATGGTCATATTGAATGGACACAATAGTTTAGCGATCAATTGTTAAAAATATTTTTCGTAGATTGTGTAACATTATAATTTATTTATTTATTATTTTTACATTAAACTATTTTTTTTTAGAAACATTTACTTTTCTTGACCTTTGCAGTTCTATATAAACTAGTATTTATAAGTTATATATCCTTCAAAATCAACTTCATATTTCAAAATACCTCATATAACAAAGATTTTTATTTGATTTCCAAAGAAGCAGTTTTCGATTACTACACATACTGTAAATCACAACCTATAAACTTTAGTTCTAATATCGACCCTCGGGAAAGTAAAGTGTGAGGCTATATTTTGTTTTAAGCGTTTATCGTATCTTTAATACTTGACGAGCTCCGTGGAAATATATATAAATCAAACGTTGCCATTGTCAATATGGAGTCGTAAAACAAAAAAAAATACTTATATATTTCGCACGTGGGTGCAGCCACTGTTGTTGGTGGGAAGTTGAAAAGTGACAACAATGATGGTTTAAAAAAGATTAAAATAATAAAAACGTAATAATAACAAAAAACAAATACAAACGGTTATTAGTTATTGTCATTAAAGTTAGGTAACCTACATAGATAGTTTTTACCCTTCGGTAGGTCGGTAGGGTCTTTCAGAACGTAGACACGGTAAATACGCATGCGCCCATCTGTTCTGTTCGGCGTATTATTATGTACTTATTGATAATTTTGGAAACATTTTTAGTGAAAAAAAAAAAAAAAAAATAGAAAAAAGAAACAGTTGAAAACCAATTTACATTGAAATTATAATACTAAAACGTATACCATTTCAGTAGACTGTGTGTATTCGAGAACATTTATTTTTATTTAACTGCATACCTACCTTAGCTGTTGCAGCATTAGGAATTATGGGGTATACATTACGATGATGGTAAATATTTAAGTCGTTTAAAATAACGAACGACGAAAGGTTTGAAACGAACCTCGTTATATTGTATACAATATAAGGTTGAGACGAACGCACGCGCTCGTGTAATTTAGATTTGAGTTAAAGACAGATAAAAATTAGTGTGTGTAGCCCATAAAAAAAAAAAAAAAAACCCCAGTAGGCGCAGGCGATTGATTAAACATTTTCCTGTAGATGCATACAAAACTCGATTGTATATAATTTCGATTTACACGACGTTATATCGTACTTTGAAAATATTACTCGTAGGTACACATATGTAAATTATTTCTCTCTTATAAAAAATATAATATTATGTAAAGAAGGTACGTTTATATTTTTTATATTTTGTGTATTCTACTCGGGTGGCGGATGCGTTTCCGTCGATTTTTTCCCCCTTATCTATATTATTGTTATATTGTATATATTATTTGTTATATATTATACACATTTCCGCGACGTTTGGAAATCGTTTTAAGAGGACGCCATACCTTGTAACCTCCGTCACACAACCGCGAGACATAGCAAATTTCCGTTCGGCGGGAACAACTCTGCGCTGATTGTTTCGATATTACAGCGAATTGAACATCGTCTGTGTGGTATCGGTTTTTTTTTTTTTTCGTTATTATATTTTTTAATCATCGTATGAGCGTTTTGAAATCGTGATATTTCACACGCTCGTACCTCGCTTAACAATATTGAAATCAAGAAAAAATACAAAACGACGACGCGACACCAACAGCACAGAGTGTTGTCCTTGTCGCACGAAAATTCGCTATGTCGCGCGGTTGTATACGGCGGAGACAGCACACGCGGGTACGGCGTCCATTTTAAGAGGACGGTATACAACATGCATATTTTGTTGCTTCCGACTTAGACCGTTTCCGGCATAGCTAAAACGTGCTCACGCAGACTACACAAAACTCGTTTAATTTTGGTTTTAGATTTAAAAGCACTCATTATCAACTTAAAAGAGAACAATATTTCGCGGAGGGCAAGACGTTGCGTTTCCTCTATTTTCTCCGGATATAACAATCAATTTACCGTGCATAAATAACGTTTTTTTTTAATTCGCCAAAACTTTATCAAAAAAACGCAACGTCTTGCCCTCCGGAATGTATAATTGTTCTTTATCGATTTCATAACAAGCGCTTTTACTCTAAAACCAAAACTACAAGCGCGTTCCGTGTAGTCTGCGTCAACATTTTTTTACTACACATATATCTTGTGTTTGTAAGACGGAAACAACAATATGCATTTGTGTAACGTCCTCTTAAGGTGTTTTGTTCACGACAACCGACCACCGCGTGTTAGCATGTTTAGTCTGCTCCTTCACGGTATAATACGAGAACGTTCGGGGGGATACAATATTGTACACTCATTTACATATAATAACGTTATGATAATAATATTACGATAGATTCATGATTACGGTCGTTCTTCGCACGTTATTATAATACGAGATGGCCACCATTACCGCCGGACATTGTGTTTGTATAATATCTTTTTACCGACGAGTGACCGTCCGTGTACAGTATAATATATAGGTATATCCAATTAAAAAAAAAAAACCCGCGGAATCGCGTATATTACGTACTCGTCCGTAAATATTATGATATTTGACGTGTACGCGTGCAATAACATTGTAAATATTATAGTTATACGTACACGCACGCGTACGAAAATCTAATAAAATATACGCCTTTATTATACTATTATGTAGTCGTCGTTATTCCGCGGGTTTTACGACCGAGGCGACGTCGACGGCGGTGTCCGGCGAAATGTTTTACGACTCGAAACGACGACGACGCTGGCCCGCTCTTATACGGAAAAAGTGAAATAAATAAAAATAAAATAAATACAATATAAATAAAAGACCGCAATTTATACGCGGGGTCGGCGCTATCAATTTACTGGAAACGTGTTCGTGTGCCTCAATTTAAAATGCATTAGCATCGCGATCGCGACGACTTTGCGCAGGCGTTAGTCCGGGAATAAACAAATAATGAATAAAAAACTAAAAAAAAACAACAACACCTGAATGTATTATATTTTACATGCCTATCTTCGTTATAAATCAATAGAGGCTAAGACGGTTTGCTCGACTCTGGAGACCGCGTATAATATCTATAGGGTGTCCACGAAAGAACATTTTTTTTTTTAAAAATGTGTCATTTCTTTGTTTTTGGGCCGGTACCACTGTGCTCAAAATTCTTCCTATCTCAAAAATCTGAAGTTTTGTGTGGTATTGTTCGTTTTTGTTTTCGATTGTCTATGGAAACCCACGTTTTGGTTTCCGGACAGACTCGTCTTATTGCGTGGGTACCAAAAAGCTGACCACCATCCCGTCCACTAAACGAACGTTCGCTTTTGAAAATTTGAAACTATGCGTACAGTGCCAGCGGAATATAAACGTTTTCAAAATCGTCCGTTGGCGGTGCGAGGAATACGAGTTCCTCCTACCGCTGTACACATTTCAAACGTGGCGGCGCGAGTGTTACATCGGCCCGGGCGAATTTACGCCGCGGCACCCGTAGATGCGGAAAATCGTAAAGACCCCCTGTAACGGTTTCGCCCGTGACGACGAAAACTTTCGGATCGGCCCGTCTTAAAAAAAAAAAAAAAAAATCCTTATAAAGGACGTACGCGTTGCGGCGTTGTCGGACATCCGAACGTTCGAATAGTAAGCTAAACGCCGTCCGAGCGTAATAATATTAGTTTAAGTACGGTACTAATATACATATATATAAATATATATATATTCTTTGTACGCATTGAAACGAGTTTACGTTTCGTGGCGATAAACATGCGCGAGCGCGTGTTTTCCTCTTATAAATTTCACGTCGCGATGCCGCGGGACGAGCGACGCGTGTACACGGCGTGTAAGCGCTGCGGGTCTCGGCGATGTTGTTATTTTTTTTTTATTTTTTTTCCCCGCGTTCTCGTAAATTTATGCGGCGACTGTAATAATGCCGTGCGTATATTATACATATATATATATACATAGGTAAATACCTGCACGGGGAACGGGCGGAGAATAAAATAAAAAAAAAAAAATAATAATAATATTATAACGAAAAAAACCGAAGAGAGAACAAGAAGAAGAGAAAAAAAACCGACCGACCGACGTTGAATATTATAATAATATCGTACACGCGGCGGTCGGCCATTGGAAATATACGCGCGCGTTATAATCTCCGGACGCGATTGTATAAATAATTGTGTGGAACGTGGCACCTGGAAAAAAAAAAAAATGAAAAAAAATGAAAAAAAACAATAATAACGATTCTATTTTCAGATCGCGCGCAGGGTAGCCGGTTGACGGTAATAATATCGTAATAATATCGTATTATGCGCGGTTTCGAGTGTCGCGCCATTCGCAACGCCGTCCGCTGTACTCCAGCACTCTCGCGCAGCACTTCCCCGTGCAACGAGCGGCAGCAGCAGCAGCAGCAGCAGCAGCGGAGCCCCCGCGCCCGAAAGAGACGCGGCGGTTCGCGCGGTCGCGTCTCCGAGACGTGAACCGCGCGCAATACGATACGAATTACATACTCGTGCGCGTGTGCATGCATCTAATACGCACGCATACGGTACACGCGTGAACAACGCCCGGCCGGCGTCGAAACCTCGTTTCCAGCTCGTTTAATTTTCACAATCCGCGCGTCTCGGCCTCGTCCCGCCGCACGCTGTTATCGCGCGGTACCCGATAACGGAACAATGACAATCGTTCGCCGGCCCGTCCGTTTTCGGGGCGAAAACCGCAAACGGGGGGAAAAAAAAAAAATCAAAAATCTATTCACGGCCCGTCAATGATTTGTCACGGTTTTCTTTTCCCCGCCGCAACACTAGGAGTGTCACTCCTAATGTATTGTATTTGTCGTCTCGCCGCACAATGGCCGTCTTGCACACCCGTACACACGTTATATTATTATTATTATTACTATCATCATGTATACGGGTAAATAAATATTTGTAATCTCTTCGCCCCGCAAACAAAAGACTCCGCGGGTCGCCCGTACGCGTTGCACCCGTCTCGCGGACGTTAATGACGCGAACACGCCGCACCGCTGTGTGAACGAACCGTCGACAACGCCTATTTTTCTCATCCTCATTCTTCACCCCTCACCCCCCACCCCACGAATGTCGTTTTCCGCGGCGTTCCGTTTGTTCGCTACGGCGAATTCTCCCCGTGTTTCGAACCGCCCCGACCAAAGGTTATTCGCGGCAAAAACTTTCGCGCATCGCCCCTATTGCAAATAACCGTACACGGGTATACGGTATCTGATACCGCACGCCGCGTCGAAAAACGTCGTATCTCACTTTTTCCGACTTCTAATGTCATACTATAGTATGAGATATATCTGTCGCGAACGCACGTTACCGTCTTTTTTACGAGCAATGCTGAATTACGGCCTCTGTAGAGACACGACGTTTTCGTCTCGACACGCGATATAATGTCCAGCAAATAACCGTCCCACCGTACATTTTTTAAATTGGAAAACCTCTTTGACTCGTACGACCCCATCCCCGTAATAGGCGCACGCACGACGCGAATCGAATAAAATGGGTTTTGGTTTGGGTTTCGAGCCGTCTGTAAAAGTGGACGCAAATCACTGTTTACGCATCACTGTTGTTCTTTTCGACCTTTTGTCGTAAGACATTCGCGCACCGTTAAACAGTTGGGTCATACGTCATTTGCGCGTCAAGTAATAGAGCGCTGAAGGGGATAGGATCACCCAAAGCCACAAATTGTTTTCAGCTTAATATTCGGGATTGATCATTTTTAAATAGGTATTATAAGACGTATAAAAGATATAAGGTATTTCTGTTTTAAAAATAAAATATACACATACTTATTAAGAGGATAATCGCGTATAAGTTGTAACAACGACCCAATCCGATCAGATATCATCAAATAATATAACAGGATATATTTGGGTGATATGACTATTAGCAATCGATGTTTAACTTTAAACGATGAGGTTTGTGTTAAATGTTAAAAATGTTAAAATTTGTTAATTAAAATCGCGGAGAAGCTACTATAATTTTTAAAAATTATATATATATATACGGAAAGAAACACTTTAATGAATAAAGAAATTATATTTAAGTGTCCAAAGAAAAATGGTTATGCTACAATAAAAATCGACGAAAACCGATTACGGTGTTAGAACTACGTGGTGAACACAATTAATATGAAATTTAGAAAAAACAAAAACAACTTCTTTATATTAGTAATGAAAAAGTTGTACAATGTTATACATGTCATACAAATTTAAATTTTTTTGTGTAACCATCCTGATTTTATTTTAGCATACCGGACCTTTAGATATATTGTCCAAAATACTTTTATCAACTGTATACTATACATATTTATAAAAACGATTTTTACTCGCCTTTCGTTTTAATTTTTTAACTGGCAAAACTACTAAGAATTTTATTCAGATGTGACAATCTTTAATTACTTTATGTAATTCCATTATTTTGGAATTTGACAATCAGAGTGGATTTCGAAAGGAGTGCGCATTTGGCTAATCAACACTGTTTTCCAAACCGCAATGTAAATGGCTGCAGATTCCATCTAGGGCAAGCTTGGTATAGAAAGCTTAGTCAAGACATTTTATCCTTGAGAAAGTATCAGTATAAAGCAAATTCAGAAATTGGAAAATGAATCAAATATTTCTTTAGCTTATCTTTTATACCAGCTGAAGAAGTTTCTGATGTATTCTGCGAGTTAATCGAAATAACACCAAATAACGACCAAGTATTGATTTTAGCGATTATACATACGGAAACTACATTCAAGAAGATTGCTTATTTCCATCAGAAATGTGGGCAGAAACGGCCAACTTACCAACAACTTTACCAAAAACCACCAATTTGGATCCGAGCCGTTTTACGCTCACTACAACGCACAGTTTTATATGTATATAGTCCTCATTCTCTAATATGGAAGGTATCAAATTATATTTGCTTTAAATTATTGATTAATAATAGTAGGTACCTATTGGTTATTAATATATTTGTTTACGTATTTTAGGTAATAGATACTTTGAAAGAAATTCAAACTGAAACAAACCTAAACATTAAAGACGTATCTAATGGCATCAATCATTTACAACTGGCACATGAACGTCATAAAGTGCAATACATACAAAAATATTGGGATAAAGATATCACAGCATAAATAAATAGGCTTCATTTCATAAAAATAATTGGTCATTATAACACGCCAACCGATACATTTTAACTGTTATAGGTTATGTTAAATTAAGACAATTTTTGTTTTAATAAACTGCATGCAACCTTGTAATTTTTAATATTTTTGTATTTTGTATTTTTTTTATTACCTATTGTAAACGGACGGTGTGCAAATAATACACTGCCGTTGATGCGCAAATGTTGTACGAGTTTTTGGACAAGTAATCAAACGGTGCGCAAATGATGACCGCCGGTAAAAGTACACCGGATAGTTTCATCCAACACGAAAATCGCGTCTCGTTCGGTTTTTGAATCGTTTGTTTCCGACAGCACTTTCGTTACCCGTCAAAATGTTTCCACGTCAGATCCCGGCGGATGCCATTTTTTTCAACATATTTTGTATTGCTATTTCACTATTGGACGGTATGTCGGGAAAATCGTGCGTGGGCTAAGAAATAAATTTCCCGATCATATAGCACGTATAGTTATGGTTTTAATTGATTGGTCAATCGCGTTTTCGTACTCGCTACACACGAATCAACTATCGGATTTTCAAACAACACGTCATGCTATTGATGATCGTCCAGGACGAAGGTCTACGTACTATACGTACGGCATAGGCTTATTATATTTCTTGAACTTCTCCGCAGTAGTGGTTTTTTTATCGACCAATAGAATTCAAATATTCCGTTAAACCGCGGAGAACGAGAAAACGTCAAGTTATACAACGCGCGCGAGGTAAAATCCATTTTATAATTGATATGTTTTTTTTTTCTATATATATAAAATAAACGAGTTTTATAAATTGTTATAAGGAGCGTTAGGAATCAATTGGGTTTATTATAATGACGTGTTTTTCAAATGAGGTGTACAACAAACGATTTATTTACCTATTATACTGCGTCTGGTCATCCACGTGAGCGAGTTTATTAGCCGCCCAGTATCAGTCGTGTAGTTTTACGACCATTTTAATCGAAATAAATATAAAAGCAACAAAAAAAAAAAAAAATATGTATATATACGAGATATAATACCTTATGTGTGGTGTTTCGAGTGTCTTGTGTATTATTTTCGATTTAAAATTTCCAAAAAAACAAAACAAAAAATCACTAGCGGTAACAATAATTGGACGCTCGTTTGTTATAACATCGGCCAAAGATGTAATGTATACTCGTTACTATACATCATTACTCGTATTTATATTTATTTGTGTTGCAATTAATATTTATCGTTTTAGTACTGCATTTATGTATTTTTTAAACGGTATAACTTTTTCTTGATTAATTATATAAATTATACAATATAATATAATATAGGTAGTACCTATTATATTGACCTATTTTAATACCTGTATACGCGTTTATAATAAGTAAACTAAAAATTAAAATCTACAGTTTTAAAATTCGTATAAATAACAACAACAACGTTAAAAAATAAACGACGATATTATTACAAAACGACTTCTGTGTGGAA